CCATTGTTCCGTGACCTAATCTCCAGGGCAGCAGAAAACAAGCCTCTTATATTTATTTACAGTATTTATATTCCGCTCTTCTCACCCTGCAGGGGACTCAGGGCAGATTACAATGTACATATACGTGGCAAACATTCAGTGCCATAGACACACAACACATATAAACAGATACTCAGAGGCTATTAACTTTCCAGCTTCTGGCCACCAGAAGCTTCCTCATTCTTTGCATACTTGCATACTTCCTGGAGATTTTTTATGGCCTCGTAAATCAGTTAATATAGCCTCCCCACAAAGTGGTACCTAATTTTCCTACTTGACAGATGCAACTGTCTTTCGGGTTGCAAAGGTCGACATCAAGCTACACGATTTTTGTCGGGACTTCACTCCRACGTGGGCTGACTTCGAACTCATGACCTTTCGGTCAGTAGTGATCTTAATGCAGCTGACTCCCAGCCAGCTGCGCCACAGTCCCATCATCATGGTCGTCATCATGTCCCCTCTCAGCCTTCTCTTCTGCAGGCTAAACATGYCCAGCTCTTTAAGCCACTCCTCATAGGGCTTGTTCTCCAGACCCTTGATCCTTTTAGTTGCCCTCCTCTGGCCACATTCCAGCTTGTCAATATCTCTTGTCAATTGCAGTRCCCAGAATTGGACACAGTATTCCGGCTGTGGTCCAACCAATGCAGAATAGAGGTGTAGCATGACCTCCCTGGATCTAGACACTAGACTCCTGTTTATGCAGGCCAAAATCCCATTGGCTTTTTTAGCTGCCACATCACATTGTTGGCTCATGTTTACTTTCCTCCCCACAAGGACCCCAAGATCTTTTTCACATGTACTGCTATTATGCCAAGCATTGTCCTCCATTCTGTATCTTTGCACTTCATTTTTTCTGCCTAATTGGAGTATCTTGCATTTGTTCCTTTTGAAATTCATTTTTTGTTAGTTTTGGCCCATCTCTCTAATCTGTTAAGATCGTTTTGAATTCTGCTCCTGTCTTCTGGGATATTAGCTATTAGAGGCAAAACTTGGCTCTAGTCTCCTTCTCCAGGAGGAATGTGTCCAGTTTTGGATACCATACAGAAAACATTGACAAACTGTCTTGCGTCCAGTGGAAGGCAAAGAAATGATGAAAGGTCTAAAAACAAAGCCCTGTGAGGAACAGATGACAGAATTGGACACATCCAGCCTGGGGAAGAGAAAACTAAATGATATGACAGCTAAATATCTGAAGGGCTGTCAGGTAGAAGATGGAGAAAGCTTGCTTTCTGCTACTCCAGAGGATAGGACGTCAAAAATAAAAGGATTCACATTAGCATTAAGAATTAAAATATACAAAACAAACCCCTAGGAAGGGTTGGGAACGTCAGTCTTCTCTTTCCCGTTTGATGGGGAACAGACCTCTGTCATATGCAGTAGTTGCTGCCTGGTGAGAATTGGGGAACGTTCATGAACTAGGGAATATGCAAGGATTGTAAATGTAAAACATTCAATTTCAGTTATTCACTTGTGGCTACCCACGTGAATTCCAGTCCTCTGTTGTATGTCACTTTGTTCAGGCTGTGATTGTGGGTAATATTCATGATGGGAATGGGAATGATGTTCCTGATGGTGGGCCTGGATCTGTTGACAATGAGGATAAGGGTTTGTCTGGGCCTGAGTTATGCTTAGGCGAGAGGTCCAAGCTATCTCAGGAAGGACACTTCCAGACAGCACAAAATCACGGGTTTTACACTGGGGCAAAAAATAACGGGACTTCGGAAGAGGTCCACATACAGACCTGTTGGTCCTGGGATTTTTGCCTTTGTTGACCAGACTTGATGCTTTGCTGCAAGATTTAGAGGCTCCCAAGATGGCTGTAGTGGGACTTCTGTCAGAAACCTCAGCAATATATGTGGACCATTGCAAAAGTTCCATTGTTTTGGCCATAGAAACTGTGCCCACCACACATTTCATGAAGTTTCTGGCACACAAACAATGTTTTCGCTTTCTACTCAAGTGTCACCTTCTTTTTAGGAACCAACCAATCAGGAACAAACATCTAAAACCCGGGACCAAACCTAGATAAAAAAAATCCCATGGTTTCCAATTGCAGGGACATACAGACATGTGGATATTCAACTCAAAACCACAATATTCCTGTAACTGGAAATCTTGTATTTTTTGCCTTTTGTAGCGATTGCTTCCATGTTTGTAGGGAACGGTGTTTGGCCACCCTCCTGTTTGCCACGGAAGCTCCTGGGATAAAGGTACTGTCTGGACAGGCCCAAAGATTCACAAGGTCACATTCTTGGGAGACATAGTCCTTCTCGGAGCAACAATCTGAAGATGATTTGTCAGGTTCAGAAGTTAATGAGAGTCAAGTTAATGAGAGTGTAGATAGAAGGCAAGCTTTCTGTAAAAAGAGACAGAGTGCTCAGGTGCAAATAAGATCAGTTCATTTACAGGAAAAGAAAGATAAAAAAAAACCTTTATCTGGTGGTAAGGTCAAGAGAAACGCTTTCCTTTCAGTTTTGGGATCAAGAAAAGCTTTATATTGATTCATGGGAGTTGCCTCAGTTGGGTCAATGTTGGAATTTCATAATTGTCTTGCTTTCAAGTGTTCTTAGTTTCATGTACCAAGTTTTGACAAGCTCCTGATTTGTGTATCAGATTTTTCATGCTGTCCTGTTTCAGGGATTCTTGTGCCTTATTTCATGGATTTTTGTATCTTGTTTTCCTTGAAGCTCATGGATTATCCTTTGTTTTGGAACTTTACCGTTTTTGCTAATGTTACTGCTTTGCCTACATATGTTCTTCAATAAAATGTTTGCTGATTTTACCAAGTTGGTAGAATCATAGAATCAAAGAGTTGGAAGAGACCTCATGGGCCATCCAGTCCAACCTCCTGCCAAGAAGCAGGAATATTGCATTCAAATCACCCCTGACAGATGGCCATCCAGCCTCTGGTGTGGTGTTTAAGGTCAGAGGGGTTCCTGCTCTGGTGTGCGACATCCTCTTTGATTTTGGCAAAACTTAATTCTCAAACAAGCATGCTACAGAAGTAATAAGAAGGCAATTAAAGGAAAGACCAAAGAGACACACAGTAGATTTGATAAATATATTTTATACTGAAATGCATAGGTGGATCAGTCTATGGTACTGGCTACAGGGAACCACAAACCAAAGGGAAGAAGTCAATGTGGGAGATGTCTGGTTATTCCCGAGCTGTGATGGGGGAAGTTTGCAAAGAGAAAGGACTGAGGCAGGAAAGGGATGGAAGACTGATGTGCTAGAAGGACTGAGAAGATCACAGGGAAAACAATCCAACAGCAATGTCTTCAGATGGGAAAACATCCTGGTATCTTTTCTGGTCTTTGTAATAACATTGATCAGTGTTCATGAATCCAGGAGCCAAGTTTGAAAAATGACCTTTTTTGGGATGGGTTTACAATTCCCAATATTCCGCCAAGACCATTAACTTTTCCAAGCTCTGTACAGGAGTTTGATTGTCTCCCCTTCCACCCATGGAGGTACAAAGTTACATGGGGTTTGAGGCCCTTTCCTCCTGCTGTACTACACCATGAGTGGCTGATGGGACTCTGTGCCTTTGGAGATGCATCTAACCCAGGCATGAGCAAACTTTGGCCCTCCAGGTGTTTTGGACTTCAACTCCCACAATTCCTAACAGCCTCAGACACCTTCCTTTTCCCCCTCAGCTGCTTTGTTCTTTCCCCCACCCTGGACATTCCACAGATATATAAACATCACTTACTTAGTTTCCAACAGAGCCCTCAAAACCAGGCTTTGAAGCTGCAAGACCATTCAATGCTAATTCAAGGTGGCCAATTGCAAGTCACACCTGCCTCCAGCAGACAAGCGTTCTTTCTTCCACCCTGGACATTATTCCACAGATATATAAACCTCACTTGCCTAGTCTCCAACAGACCTCACAACCTCTGCAGATGCCTGCCAAAGATGTCAGTGAAACATCAGGAGAGAATGCTTCTGGAACATGACCATACAGCCCAGAAAACTCGCAGCAACCCATGGTCAACATTGCTTTTTAAATGTGTCTTCTCATACTGATATTGGCCACATTGGGACGAATTCTCATCCCTGATGAATTCTGATCAAATCATAAATAATTACCCAGACGTTTCTTGCCTTCAGTGCTCAAGATGGACGGGAAACCTTTCCCACATCAAACAGTAAAGTGAAAACCCATTTCTGAGTTTATGGATTCCAATCAGGAGTGGGCAGTTCTGGAGAATTTGAGAATTTGGGAATTGGGGTGAAAGTGCCATCATGAATTGCCCACACCTTCATTTTAAACATGGAAAGAAACTGACAGGTACAGCTTGGGAGAAGAAGCGTAGACGGCTGGGTGCCCATCTGAGCAGGACAAAAATCCAGAAGATACGTAGCAATAAATAAATATATATATATATATAGTAGTCATATAATAGTCCATGCACCAAAGATAAGAAAAAGTTTGCATTTGGACATGCTGTGTTAATGGAAGAAGGGAAATATTTTCTCCTCGGAGTCTAGCGCCACCTCCGTCGCTGTCATCACTTCCTACCAAAGTTTGGGTTTTGTAGCAGCTGAGTGGATGACGGGGGCAGCTATGTTTGAGGAAGCGAGGCAAAGGCGTCAGTGAGTGAGGCAGAGGCAGCCGGACCCAAAAAGGTGAGGACTGTGCCACACAGAGCGAGGAGGACGACTGAGGAAAGGGTTGAATGGGATTTCACAGGAGTCAGGCATCCTTACGATGAGGAATTAGGGACTGATGCTGTGTTGGAGATATCTAGTTTGAGATTACGTCATTACACTGTAGTAGATAAGGCTTGAAACAGTACCATGGATGGGACATTTAGGTTTCATATCTGGGAACAGGACAAGGAAATACCATTGGGAAACGACTGGGATGATAATTTGATTGAGAAAGTAGGGAATTGTTGATTTCTGATACTTTCCCAATTAAAGACGGATCCCCAAAGGAACTTAACATATAAAAATTTGCCCCTGAATATTTTAATAAAACCTATGAAGAAAAGTTCATCCTATGCAGACACATCTTCTCTGAAGAGGTGTCCTTCAATGACCATGCTGGCAGGGAATGCTGGGAGTTGTAGTCCTACATGCATGGACAGGACCTGATCGGGAAAGCTTGTTATGTGCAACTAAGACAAAGAACACCAAATCAGGACGTTCCTGCACCGCTTCAGTATAGACCAGTGGTTCTCAGCCTGTGGGTCCCCAGGTGTTTTGGCCTACAACTCCCAGAAATCCCAGCAGTTTACCAGCTTTTAGGATTTCTGGGAGTTGAAGTCCAAAAACATCTGGGGACCCTAGGTTGAGAACCACTGGCTGTAGACCATCACCACAGGTAAAAATGTCTAGGATTTGTGATCTTGCTTTAAAAAAGTGATTCTCAACCTTCCTAATGTCATGACTCCTTAATACAGTTTCTAATGTTGTGACGACCCCCCAACCATTAAATTATTTTCATTACTACTTCATAACTGTAATTTTGCTACTGTTATGAATCATAATGTAATATCTGATATGCAGGATGTATTTTCATTCACTGGACCAAATATGGCACAAATACCCGATACGTCCAGATTTGATTACTGGTGGGGTTGGGGGGAATTTATTGTCATCTGGGAGTAATTGCTGAGATTTATAGTCCACTTACAATCAAAGAGCATTCTGAACTCCACCAATGATGGAATTGAACCAAACTTGGCACACAAAACTCCCATGACCAATAGAAAATACTGGAAAGGTTTGGTGGGCATTGACTTTGAGTTTGGAGTTGTAGTTCACCTGCATCCAGAGAGGACTGTGGACTCAAACAATGATGGATCTGGAGCAAACTTGGCATGAATACTCAATATGCCCAAATGTGAACACTGTTGGAGTATGGGCTAAATTGAACTTGACATTTCGGAGTTGTGGTTGCTGGGATTTATATTTCACCTACAATCCAAGAGCATTCTGGACACCACAAGTAATAGAATTGGGCCAAACTTCCCACACAGAACACCCATGACCAACAGAAAATATTGTGTTTTCTGATGGTCTTTGGTGACCCCTCTGACATCCCTTCGTGACCCTCCCAGGGGTCCCGACCCCCAGGTTGAGAAACACTGCTTTAAAACAATATGTAGGCCACCTACACTTTGTTTTGATTTGCAACAATAGATACTCTTTACTTGCTTTTTAAAAAACTATCATGAAATTTTGGGCACTTCTAGGCTCGTCTGGCCTGTGAGGTGTTCCGTTAGCTAAATACTGACCCTCGGACCTCCATCCTTTATGATATAGCTTAATGGAGCAATAATTCACAGATCTGCATGTATGATTATTGATCGCCTTTTGATTATTTCTTAATCTTGTACTCTACTAATTTAATCCCAAAGAGTAAAGTGACTGCTGCAGAGTTGGATCTCAGTTGTGAAGACACAACTTCATGGAAGTACGGTCACAAATTCATTTCATTTTCCAAAGGCAACTTTGGGAGAAAACTTTGGAATGAGGCGAAAGGCCAAGTCCTGAGTCACCCCGTGTCAGACTTCATCCGTTTTACCCACCACTTCTCAATAAACAAATATAGCTCTGTCTCTTTCTTCAAATCTAGATTTTGGCAAAACTATCATCTCTTTTTTTGGCCTTTTAAAAAGGGGCATTCGGGGGAAACCTTCCCAGACCAGGGTTGTGGGGCACCTTTGTGGTGCAAGCACTGATGTTCCTGCAGAATATTTGCACAGTAATGCTATGCAGCGTTTGAGATAACACAACATCAGTTTTGGTTTTGTTTTTCCATGTCAGGAGCAACTTGAGAAACTGCAAGTCACTTCTGGTGTGAGAGAATTGGCTGTCTGCAAGGACGTTGCCCAGGGGACGCCCGGATGTTTTGATGTTTTACCATCCTTGTGGGAGGATTCTCTCATCACTGAAACTTTGGGATGTTCAAAAAAGATCCACTGTCACTTAAGAGGGACTCCTGTAACTCGGCGTATTCAAACTTTGGCCAGAATTTTGTATCATGGTCTACACTGAGTGCCTTTTTACATACTTGGCTACCTAGCTGAGATGCGAAGGAACTCTGGTAGTGAATTGTGATTAGACATGACAGGACATTGGCAAGAGTGTCCCAATCGCCACCATTGTGCATTGGGACCGATTGTGCATTGGTCCTGATGCAATGGTCTCAATGAACATCACTCATTTCGCTTGAATTACATAAAGTCAACCTCTTGCTGAGTATGGACACTGCTCAATTCTTTTTTCCTGCAGACCCAAGTCCACTTACAATGACTTAAGTCCCCAAGTGAATGCTGGCCTCTGTTTCTCTAGAAATACATATATAGTGACTGTATGTGTGTGTATACATGTGTGTGTGCTTTCTTTCTTAACCTCACCAGTTTGGACTCACCTAAGGGAGGTAAAGGAGGAAGGAAGCAACACACCGGAAGAGGCAATCAACAGAATGCAAATGGAGGAGAGGTTGTATAAGCTCAGGGTTAGGGCTGGGCTTCAAGCTGGAGTCATGCTCTCGGGAGCAGAGTTCTACAGGCAAGGCTTGACTTAGGGACGATGAGTATCCCAGGGTATCAAGAGGATCCATTCTCACACTAGGGAAGTCGGGGAGGGCAGGATGCCTGTTGGGGAGAGGGGCAATCCCGTCGGGGAGATGGGCAACCCGGTTGGGGACAAGCTGCCACACCGCAAGGTGGAGGGGTGCACAAAATCAGGGTTGATGAAGGTGAACCCTTGGAATTCGCTCTGGTCAAGGCTCGCCATGACCAACTGGTCGGGGGGTGTCAGGGCAGGGGGTGCCCGCGTGAAAAACTTGTCAAAGTTTTCGCCACTCCGGCCACACTGCAAAGGAAGGAATTGAAAAAGAAGGGAGGGAGGAAGAAGAAAAGCAAAAGAAGAGTTATCTATCAAACTATAACACAACTGTATTGTCGAAGGCTTTCATGGCTGGAATCACTAGGTTCTTGTGGGTTTTTTCGGGCTATAGGACCATGTTCTAGAGGCATTTCTCCTGACATTTCGCCTGCATCTATGGCAAGCATCTCAGAGGACCTCACTACCTCTGAGGATGCTTGCCATAGATGCAGGCGAAACGTCAGGAGAAATGCCTCTAGAACATGGCCATATAGCCCGAAAAAACCCACAAGAACTGTATAACATAACTTTTCCTATTTTTTCATTTTACTTTCCTATATAAATACAATCTTGTATATGCACACATGGAACTGGAACACTTTGAGTTCAGTAGAGCTAAGATTGGAGCAGGCACATACAAAATTGCATTGTTAATGAAACAAAACCAAACGGAAACACTCATTTTTTTAAATCTATTTTTTAATATCTTAGCTAGTTTTAATTCTATCTAAAGGTGGTAAACTCTCAAGAGGGAAAAGTGAACTTAGGAAAATGTGTTGTCGAAGGCTTTCATCATCGGAATCACTGGGTTGCTGTGGGTGTTCCAGGCTATATTGTCATGTTCCAGAAGCATTCTCTCCTGACATTTTGCCCACATCTATGGCAGGAATCCTCAGAGGTTGTGAGGTTTGTTAGAAACTACGCATGAGAGGTTTATATATCTGTGGAATGTCCAGAGTGTGAGAAAGAACTCTTGTCTTCTAGATGCAAGTGTGAATGTTGCAATTGGTCACCTTGATTGAATGGCCTTGCAGCTTCAAAACCTGGCTGCTTCCTGGCTGGAGGATCCTTTGTTGGGAGGTGATAGTTGGTCTTGATTGTTTCATGTCTGAAATTCCTGTTTTTTGAGTGTTGCTCTTTATTTACCGTCCTGATTTTTTTAATACTGGTGACCATGTATAAATATGTGAGGGGAAGTCATAGGGAGGAGGGACCATATTTAAGATCTTTAAGATATTTTCTGCTGCCCTGGAAACTAGGACAAAGATAAATGGCTTCAAATTACAGGAAAGGAGATTCCACCTAAACATTAGGAAGAACTTCCTAAGTGTGAAAGCCATTCAGCAGTGGAACTCTCTGCCCCAGAATGTGGTGAAGGCTTCTTCTTTGGAGGATTTTAAACAGATGCTGGATGGCCATCTGTCGGGGGTGCTTTGAATGTGATTTTCCTGCTTCTTGGCAGGGGGTTGGACTGGATGGCGTTCGAGGTCTCTTCCAACTCTATGATTCTATGATTCTATGGTACACAGATTTTGTTCATTTTCATGGTTTCCTCCTTTCTGTTGAAATTGTCCACATGCGTGTGGATTTCCATGGCTTCTCTGTGTAGTCTGACATGGTGGTTGTTAAAGTGGTCCAGCAATTCTGTGTTCTCAAATAATATGCTGTGTCCAAGTTTGGTCAACAGACAGGAAACCATCAGGGACAGCTAATCACTTCTCAACAAAGGATTCTCCAAGGCAGTAAGAAGTCACGCCTAGAAACTGCAAGGCAATTAAATGCTAATCAAGGTGGCCAATTGCAACATTCACACTTGCCTCCAGCAGAAAAGAGTCCTTTCTCCCACCCTGGACATTCCACAGATATATAAACCTCACTTGCCTAGTGTTTTCAACAGACCCCACAACCTCTGAGGATGCCTGCCATAGATGTGGGCAAAACATCAGGAAAGAATGCTTCTGGAACATGGCCATACAGCCCGAAAAACTCACAGCAACCCAACTTAGGAAAACTTAGAAAAATCATATGAATTCTCATCTTTATATTTACACTTATGATAAAAGGTGTGGAGTTTAATGGGCAATGATAATAATGTGAGAAACAATGGAAAACAAATGGAATTGAAATGAAACTTCCATGAAATTCAACTGGCATGAGATAAATAACAAAACTATTGAAAGAGCACAAAATAGAGAAAGAAAAAAAATAGCATTTGAGAAGCAAACATTTCAACATGACAATCACTATGCTTCCCCCCCCCCCCAATATTAGGAGCGACTTGAGAAACAGCAAGTCACTTCTGGTGTGAGAGAACTGACCGTCTGCAAGGACATTGCCCAGGGAACGCCCGGATGTTTTTGATGTTTTACCATCCTTGTGGGAGGCTTCTATTATGTCCTCGTATGGGGAGCTGGAGCTGACAGAGGGAGCTCATCTGCGCTCTCCCCGGATTTGAACCTGCGACCTGTTGGTCTTCAGTTCTGCCAGCACAAGGGTTTAACCCACTGCGCCACCGGGGCCTCCTATTCCATGCTGTGATTTTGATATAGTGGAGATGGCAAGACACACAGCAGGGAAACAGAATACAGATTATTTTTCTCTATGCACACTTCATGAAAAGACAAACCAATATCATGTATCAAGTCTTCATATGCAGAAGCTTAGATATGAAGACTTCTATGCATGTGTCAGCAGAGTAGAGCATGGGGAAAACAACTGTAAATAGTAATATTAATAATAGTATTTCTTACCTGCCTCTTCTGATGGCTTGAGGCGGGTTACAACATGTCACAGTACATAAATATGAGTGTACAAGCATTTACTTATGGGAGCCTGTGCCTTAAAAAAAACCTATGTGTAGCAATGCATGGATAAACTAAAATATAAGTAAAGGGTAAAAGTTTCCATTGACATTAAGTCTACTCGTATCCGACTCTAGGGGATGGTGCTCATCTCTATTTCTAAGCCGAAGAGCCGGCATTGTCCATAGACACCTCCAAGGTCATGTGGACTGCATGACTGCATGGAGCACCGTTACCTTCCCACAGAAGCGGTACCTATTGCTCTACTCACATTTGCATGTTTTCGAACTGCTAGGTTGGCAGAAGCTGGGGCTAACAGCAAGAACTCACCCCGTTCCCTGGATTCAAACTGCCAACCTTTTGGTCAGCAAGTTCAGCAGATCAGCAGTTTAACCTGCTGTGCCACCTGGGAGGGGGAGGGGGCTTTAACTAAAATATATAAGTAAATAAAATGGATTATTAACAGGTGTACAGAATAACAGAAGGTATAAAATGCTTATGCAGTCAGGCATGGCATGAGTTTAAAGTTTGTTGGGTACCACATTATTGAGAAAAGTCATGTATTTGTACTTCTTTAGGCTTCGTGTGAGAAAAAGACGCTGGTAAGACATGCACAGATTATGTAAATAAATGTGCATATTTGGGGAAATATTAATGTGCCCAAATTTACATGCAATTCTCCCAATGGCAATATCAACCCATGAGGAAACAAAGAGAAAAAGAAAGCTGGAATATTGAGAAATGCAGTGAAACTGAGGTGAGGAAATGTTCACATCTCTGACTGTGTCCAATTCTATTTGGGAATGGAGCGCTACTCACTGGCCTGGGGATGAAAGGTGGAGCAATTTCTAGCTGTTCCAGTCGCTCCCAGTCCATCCAACGGAAAAAGGCATGCTCCCGAATATCCCGCTCTCCCTCTGGCCCTGAGCCCAGGCGCTTCAGTGGGTGTTTGGTCAAGAACTGGGGAAATAGAGAGAAAAAGAGATTTATGAGCTTTGCTTCTAAGGACATTCAGTCTCCAATCCAATAACTCTGTGGTTCTCAACCTTCCAAACGCCGGGACCCCTTAATACAGTTTTCATGCTGTGGTGACCCTCAACCATAATATTATTTTTGTTGCTACTTCATAACAGTAATTTATTAATCGTAATGTAAATATCTGATATGCAGGATGTATTTTCATTCACTGGACCAAATTGGGCACAAATACTTGATGCACCCAAATTTGAATACTGGTGGGGTTGGGGGGATTGAACTTGTCATTTGGGAGTTGTAGTTACTGGGATTTATAGTTCACCTACAATAAAAGAGCATTCTGAACTCTACCAATGATGGAATTGAACCAAACTTTGCACACAGAACACCCATGATCAAAAGAAAATACTGAAAGGTTTTGGTGGGCATTGACCTTGAGTTTAGGAGTTGTAGTTCATCTCCACCCAGAGTGTAGCACAGACTCAAACAATGATGGATCTGGACCAAACTTGGCACAAATACTCAATATGCCCAAATGTGAACACTGGTGGAGTTTGGGGCAAATAGAGATTGACACTTGGGAATTGTAGTTGCTGGGATTTATAGTTCACCTACAATCAAAGAGCATTCTGAACCACCAATGAAATTGAACAAACTTGGCACACCAAGGTTGAGCAAAGGAAGATAGATGTATTGTCGAAGGCTTTCATGGCTGGAATCACTAGGTTCTTGTGGGGTTTTTCGGGCTATAGGGCCATGTTCTAGAGGCATTTCTCCTGACGTTTCGCCTGCATCTATGGCAAGCATCCTCAGAGGTAGTGAGGTCTGAATGATGTATGAATCTTCTCAACCTCTGAGGATGCTTGCCATAGTTGCAGGCGAAACGTCAGGAGAAATGCCTCTAGAACATGGCTCTATAGCCCGAAAAAACCCACAAGAACCTAGATACTGAAAGGTTTTGGTGGGCATTGACCTTGAGTTCTGGAGTTGTAGTTTACCTCCACCCAGAGAGCACTGTGGACTCAAACAATGATGGAGCTGGATCAAACTTGGCATGAATACTCAAAATGTCCAAAGTGAACACTGGTGGAGTTTGGGAAAAATACACCTTGACATTTGGGAGTTGTAGTTACTGGGATTTATAGTTCACCTACAATCAAAGAGCATTCTGAACCACACAAATAATACATTTGGGCCAAACTTCCCACACAGAACCCCCCATGACCAATAGAAAATACTGTGTTTTCTGATGGTCTTTGGAGATGCATATAACACCCTCTCACAACTCCCGACCCCCAGGTTGAGAAATGCTGCAATAACTATTCAAGGAGGAAATGGGCGTAGGAAGCTTTTTTCTCCCCTTTGGATTGTGGGAATTCTGATCCAAGCCTCACCCCTTTGCAGATAGAGACAGCCTCCCGTGAAAGTGATTTGGGATAGGAGACGGTGTGCTCCATAATGGACTGGAAGAGTTCATCTTCGTCTTCTCCATCAAAGGGTGGCTATGGATAGGGAGAACAGAAGAAATAAATGAAAGAGTCCATTCTTTTCCTATAGAGAAATATTAGGAAAAACATCAAGTTGGCTACACTGTCTTTTCGGGAATACGTCTCTAATCCAGGACTTTCCAAATTCACTAAGGAACCAGCTTCACAAATATTAACACCTGTCTCCTCTTATTAGATCTGTATTCTTCTTAGATCCATTAGATCCAATATAGTTAGCATTAGAGAAACCTACTCCCAGAATCCATTTAGCAAAGAAGTCAATTCTTAATGAAAATCCTATGGGCATTGTCATGTGCGCAATTACAAATGTGCACATATCTTATGAGCGATCAAGATCTTGCATCTGCTGGGACTATTCTCTTAGGAAACTCCTAAAATATCCACACATAAATTTCCCAGAGGACTGAGCTATCACTGAGATCAATTTTGTAAGGATCCTGGATTTGCTGTTCCTTTCCCTACTTTACAATTTAATTGTCAGAACCAGAAACCACTGACTCATGATACTACAAAGAATTGAATGGCTTAATTATTGAACTAAGCAACTTCTTGCCTAGAGCCTGGAAAGTAAGTTTTAAAAGTAACATATAGCAATTATAGTCCCTTGAATTACCATATATCCTGGAGTATAAACTGAGATTTTCAGCCCTTTTTTTAGGCTGAAAAAGCCCAGCTCAGCTTATACTCGGGTCAAAGTCATTTATTATTTTATTCTGTTATTATTATTATTCCATTTTTTATTTTACTTTATTATTATTATTATTATTACATTTGCATTATTTAACTCGGATTTATTATTATTATTCCATTTATTATTTTTCTCTATTTATTATTATTACATTTATTATTGTACTCTCTTTATTATTGTTATTATTACATTTATTATTTTACTCTATTGTTATTATAACATTTATTATTTTTCTCTATTATTATTACATTTATGATTTTACTCTATTATTATTGGAAGGATACGTAAGCACATTTGCATTGAAGAAAGTTAGAATAGTAGTTTCTTCAGTGTTGGATAGTCTTATTGTAAATTCCAGTTTTATGTAAATATTCGAAAACATTTAACCTACTGATGCCTCAATCAATGTCATTTTATTGGTATCTATTTTTATTTTGAAATTTTCCAGTAGCTGCTGCATTTCCCACCCTCAGCTTATACTCAAGTCAATAGGTTTTCCCAGTTTTTTGTGGTAAAATTAGGTGTTGCGGCTTATATTCGGGTTGGCTTATACTCAAGTACATACGGTGCTTTCTCAAAAGCAACTAAGATTGTGACTAAAGTAACTGAAGAGTTGCAGTTACACTGCTAAAGGAGTGAAACAATATCTTGCTATGTTACCATGGTACAGTAATATCATGTAATGTAATCACTCCATTAGTGGGGAAAGAAACTAATTACTTCAAAATCATGTTCCTCCCGCAACACACCTACCTGCCCAGCCAACATTTCATACAGAAGGACACCAAATGACCACCAATCCACAGACTTCCCATATGGTTGATAGGCAATAATCTAAACAAGAATGAAATAGAAAATATTTTCTTCAATCCTACTCCCTGACATAAATAATTCCAATGAATAACTGAATAATAAAGCATTCTATAATAAGAAAATACTTGCTTGTTATATTGTCACATTACATAGCACTATATTACACTTAAATTTGCAATGGCTTTGGAATCCTCTCCCAAAATAAATCAGACAGGCGCCTTCTCTAGCTAACTTTCGGAAAAAAACTAAAAACCTGGATGTGGAAGCTGGCTTTCGAAAATGGTTGACTACTTCATTATGGTGGTGGTCTTTTAGCCTTATTAATTAAAAAAGGTAAAGGTTTCCCCTTGACATTAAGTCTAGTCATGTCTGATTCTTGGGGGAAGGGGTGGGATGCTCTTCTCCATTTCCAATCTGAAGAGCTAGCGTTGTCCATAGTCATGTGGCTAGCATGACTGCATGGAGCACCATTATCTTCCCGCAGAAGTGGTACATGTTGATCTATCCACATTTACATGTTTTCAAACTTCTGCGTTGGCAGAAGCTGGGGCTAACAGCGGGAGCTCACCCCACTCCCTGGATTTGAACCGCCAAGCTTTCAGTCAGCAAGTTCAGCAGCTCAGCGGTTTAACCCACTGTGCCACCAGGAGGCCCTGTTAATATCTATTGTTTTTAAATGGTTTTGCCTCCACGGTGCAATATGTTTTAAACCTAGTATGATTTTAACCTATGTATTTATTTATTGTGCTTTGTTTCTTAAATCAAATGTGAGTGCTGTGAGGCAAGGTTCTTCTGGAAGGAGATGGTCCATAATGTTTCAGGGTCTTCAAAATTAAGTGATTGCACCTTGAGTCGGGATCAGATGCCTAAAACAAAGTTGCTTCAAAACTGGTGTGATATGTTCCCATTGGCTTGCTATTGTCAACTGCATTCCAGAAAACTGCAGCAAACTTTTCAAGAGTAGCCCTATGTAGGCAGCATTGCCATAATCTAGAGCAGGGGTCCTTAAACTAAGGCCCGGGGGCCGGATGTGGCCCTCCAAGGTCATTTACCCGGCCCTCGCTCTGGGTCAACCTAAGTATGAAACTACTTGAAAGCACACAATAACAACAATAATCCTATCTCATCAGCCAAAAGCAGACCCACACTTTCCATTGAAATACTAATAAGTTTACATTTGTTAAAATTGTTCTTAATTTTAATTATTGTATTGTTTTTAATATTTTTTTGCACAACAAATAAGGTATTTGCAGTGTGCATAGGAATTAATTGATGTTTTTTTCGAATTATAATTCGGCCCGCCAACACTTTGAGGGACTGTGACCTGGCCCTCTGTTTAAAAAGTTTGTGGACCCCTGATCTAGAGAGTCAGGAACCAGGTCTCACAAGTCCACTGGGAAAAGAATAAGGGTCGAATGAAATTCATTCATTTAGTGTTCTGCTCCTTATAAGGAACTAGCTGCAAAACTAAACGTGATGTTGGCACCTCCAATGCTGGATGCGACATGAACTATAGAAAAAAAATGGAGGAGGATAAAATAAGACATAATTCAGATCCTCAGTTCACCCCCATACACATTCCATTGTGAAAAATTAGAATTCGGAGCAAATACATGTAAATGCCCATAGCACCTCTCGTTTTAACGCAGAGTGATTAGGAATGTGCAACCAGGGCCCTGGTGATTTCACATGGCAAAAGGTCAACCATAAAATTAGATGATGCCTGGAAGAGAATTTTGATTAGATCAGAAAGACCTGAGTTTCCTTTGGAAAATAAACAACTGCTTCACTGAGAAACTCTGACTAAAAGATCCCGTACCTCTGGAGCAATGTAGTCAGGCGTTCCGCAAAAAGTCCGGGTTGTGATGCCGGGAAAAATGTTTTCTTTGCACATCCCGAAATCTGTAATCTTAATGTGACCATCAGCATCCAACATTACATTATCCAGCTTCAAATCCCTAGGCAGAAAAGAACAAAGTGTGCAATTGGAATACTTCCTCCCAATGGAAGGCATTAGATTACATCTAAGCTGATGGGGCTCAAGAGGCCAATCCTGACCTGCCCATTAAGTTCATTACACTGGAAGGAAAAATGTGCTCCAGAGACACAGGGAGGATCATGAAAGTATATCCCCCAACATGTCACAGATGGAAACTAGAGCATATGGGGCCAAATCATATCACAATGTGTTCAGTATTAAAGTTAAGGAGAGGTTACAGCAGTTTGCTTTTGCCGATGGGAATAGTAGAAAAAGAGAGATGAAACCCTGAGCTCTTGTGACTCTCAGGAACGGAATGAGATTTTATGGACAGGCTAGAAGAGCTAGGATATGGGATTTTTCACATGGCACAATTACAGAATTATAGTGTTGAGCGGAAGCTCCATAGACCATTAGGTTTATATACATACACTCCACACACACAATGCAGAACCCGAATTAGGGAATCCCCAGTTTAGACCACACTTTCGGTGTCATGGTTTGTGTAGTACGCCAGAGCAGGAACATCTGACCTTAAATACCACACCGGCTTGGTAAAATCAGCAAGCAGTGTATTAAAGAATATATGTAGGCAAAGCGGTAAAATGAGCAAAAGTAGTAAAATTCCAAAACATAGGATAGTCTGTGAGGTTCCAAAATAAAACAAGATTCGTTGGTACAGAAATCCATGAAACAAGACATAAAATTCATGAGAAATCTAATACATAAATCAGGAACTTGGCAAAAACTTGTTACATAAAACTAAGAGCACTTGAAAGCAAGACTGTCATGAAATTCCAATGTTGACCCAACTGAGGCAACTCTTTCCCGTGAATCAATATAAAACTTTCCCACATTCCAGAAAACATTTCTCTTGACCTTACAACCAGATAAAGGTTGCTTATCTTTCTTTTCTTGCAAACAAACTGATCTCCTTTGTGCCTGGGCACTCTGTCTCTGTTTACAAAATCCTTGCCTTCTATCTACTTTCTCATTAGCATCAACACCTGACAAATCATCTTCATACTCTGAGAAAGACTGTGAAGGGCCTCACCCAGGAATGTGGCCTTGGCCTTGTGAATCTTCCTGAGACAGCTCTGGCCTCTCATCCAAGCTTAACTCAGGCCCAGGCAAACCCTCATCCCCATTTCCATCATGAATCTCAGACACAATCACAGGCTAAACAGGCTGAATTATAACAGTTTGAATTTTGCCGAGGCACTGGAGCTCTCTGGCTGAGAATCTAAATACTCCTGCCTTAAACTGGAAATCAGGACCTCATTGGATGCAACCATGGCAAGTTAAAGTGGAAGCATAAGACTATAATTCAGCTGTAGGTTAATAGCCCCAAGCCTCCCACATGCTGGCCGGAAAGACAGGTAAATGGAATAGCTGTCACAGACTCACCTGTATATAATTCCTTTGTTATGTAAAAAGAAGAGACCAATTGCGATTTCTGCAGCATAAAACCTGTAGCAGAAAAGATGAAGGCGACAATGTGGCACAGATAGGATGAAGTGGGCAGTTGAATGGCAACTATCCCTTTAGTAGAGGAGTACTTGGAGTGCTTCTAACACCCACAGTTTGTGCTACATTTGAAAGACCCAGGCAGGCGCGTTCTTTAGGCAGCCAAACCACTCCAATAGCAAGTGGCTTCTTCGTACTTGACGTATGCCCTGTCAAGTACTAAAATTCGCATCAGAAATCAAAAATTGTGAAACTACTGTGTGAATCACAATGAGAACACTTGTCATTCCAGATGGAAGTGGCAGGGACCCTGAGTGTAGGCTGGCTTCCTGCTATGTATCTAGGTTGTTTTTGTTTTTCAAAACATATGTGCCACCATTACCTGGGTTGGCTGGCGTGTGTGTTATTGATATTATAATACTGAAGGCCACCTGAGTATAATATTTATGCCAGCCTACACAGGTAACACAGCAAATGTTGTATCTCATGTATTGAAGGGCCCACTGTTTTCTTATTTAGCTCCATGAATGTGCATTATATTGTACTGAGTATCGAGATGTCAGATTCCAGTCCCAAGCAGTTTATGACCTAAAATTTGACATATTTAAGCTAACAGTTTTGGATGGAAGTACTTTTCTGCTAAGGAACACATTTGGTGAAAACTGTTGGTGGGGAGTATTAATAATTTCAATATGTTAGAGTAGTAGTTCTCATCCTGTGGGTCCCCAAAACTTTTGGTCTTCCAGAAATCCTAACAGCTAGTAAACTAGCTGGGATTTCTGGCTGTTGTAGGCCAAAACACCTGGGGACCCACAGGTTGAGAACCACTGTATTAGAATGACCCCAAACAAGGAATACTCAGAGGTTGTTTTGTCCGTTCCTTCCTCTGAAACTTAGCCTGCAATACTTAGTATTTATTTATTTACCACATTTATACCTCACCATTCTCACCCCGAAGGGGACTCAGAGCAGGTTGTTACAATAGGCAACAACTTGACGCCGCACAAATACATACAAAGAAAATAAACAAATATATTAAAATCCCAAAAATAAAAAACATCAAACATTAAAACAAATAATTAAAATCACGTAGTCCAAGATCATAATCCAGAGCCTTTCCATTCATCATTGCACTATTTCGTATTCCCTTATTGCACTGATCGAAAAAATACTGACCAAAGTCTTGGTCCCACAACCATATTTTTAGTTTTTTCCTGAAGGTCAGGAGGGAGGGAGTTGATCTAATTTCACTGGGGATGGAGTTCCATAGACTAGGTGCCACTGAGAAGACCCTGTGTCTCATCCCCACCAGTCGCGCTTGCTAAGGAAGTGGGACTGAGAGCAGGGCCTCCCCAGACCATCTTAACCTCTGAGGTAGTTTATAGAGGGAGACACATTCGTACAGGTAAGCTGAGCTAGAACCATTTAGGGCAGTGGTTCTCAACCTGTGGGTCCCCAGATGTTTTGGCCTACAACTCCCAGAAATCCCAGCCAGTTTACCAGCTGTTAGGATTTCTGGGAGTTGAAGGCCAAAACATCTGGGGACCCACAGGTTGTGAACCACTGAGTTAGGGCTTTATAGGCTAAAGCCAGCACTTTGAATTGTGCTCGGTAGCAGACTGGCAGCCAGTAGAGCAGATGTAACAGGGGGTTGTATGCTTCCTGTACCCCACTTTGGTGAGCAATCTGGCTGCCATCCGTTGGACCATTTGAAGCTTCCAAAGAGTCTTCAAAAGCCACCCCACATAGAGCATGTTGCAGTAGTACTCATTGTAGGTCTCTTATCTAAGAACTAACTAAAGCTGACCCTGTTTAGCTTCTGAGATCAGATAGGATTTTGTGTGTGCTAAATGTGTGAAAGAGAACACCATTTGTCTGGATGCCCACCAATCTTTCTCTTTCCTTGTCTGCGATGGGAAGGCAAAGAAAGACGGATCACTTGTGCCCAAAGTGTGAACCATTTGCTTACAGTAGGCATTTGTAATGGTCTTAACTCTACAGTATAGATCAGGCATGGGCAAACTTCAGCCCTCCAGGTGTTTTGGACTTCAACTCCCACAATTCCTAACAGTCTACTGGCTGTTAGGAATTGTGGGAGTTGAAGTCCAAAACACCCGGAGGGCCAAAGTTTGCCCATGTCTGATATAGATGCACCCCAGAATGAAATTATACCTACCTCTGAAAAAAAATAAAAAAGAAGAAGGAAGCTGTAAGCAGGGATAAATGGGAAGGACAGACATCCGTTCCACTTAAAAGTACATAGAGGGTATATAGTATTTTTTTCAGCCAGGAAGGTCACTGAAGGAAATTGCCATTTCTCAGTCCAGACTATTTTCCAGGGTTGTGAAAATAAAATGGGTCTGAGATCATGCATTCCTTTTTTACTTTTGTGGTGGGAAAACTATCATGAATAAATAAAGTGCCATACTTTCAGGAGGAAATACACATGAAGGATGAATAATGCGGGCTACAGGTATACGGTTGACCAGGAATACATGGAGGGGAGCAAACCACTCTCACCAGGCCAGACTTGGTTAAGAGCAGTATAATTTTAACTTTTGTAAACAAACTGTTTTTCCCTTCCAGGTGACTGCCTGCACCCTCAGTCTCACATTGAATTCTCATGTATTTTTCAGATGAATGAGTCTATTGCAACAATGCATTCACACTCCCATATCGTTCAAATGAGGCACAAACATATTTTTCATTGTTTTTCTAAGCAGGACAGATAACCATCCCCCAATCCCTAAAATATATATTTGATCAGAATACGTTTTGTGTGTGCGCGTGTGTCAGGAGCAACTGCAAGTCGCTTGTGGTGTGAGAGAATTGGCCATCTGCAAGGACATTGCCCAGGGGATGCCCAGATGTTTTACGATCATATGGGAGGCTTCTCTCATGTCCTCACAGGAGAAGCTGGAGCTGACAGACAGGAGCTCAGCCCGCTCCCTGGATTTGAACTGTCAACCTTTCAGTTAGCAGTCCTGCTGGCACAAGGGTTTAATCCATTGCATCACCAGGGGCTCCTAAAATACATGTTGATTTATTTCATGTAATAAGCTTGATGGTTTCGCATTGAGGTCACTCAGTTACACAACGTCACTGGAGTACAATAATTTTTCATGAAACGGAGCCCTGGTGTCCAATGTTAATAAACAGAACAAGTGATACAACCCCTTTGGTGGCATCGCAAAAGCTCCGCAACATAGAAACAACTCTAGTAGGGGGGAAACTTCTCCATTATTGCCTCCCTGCTGCAATAATTTCCACTAGCAGAGCATTGTTAATTTTAAATAGGGTGGCATTTAAATATCTGAAGCAATGTAGAATAATCCATCATCCCAGGGCTTTTACCCACTGACTCATTCTTCCCTCATTTTTCATTCATCTGTTTCGCCCTCCTAAATTGACCTAAACTACACATTTCACCAAAAATTTACCATTGGTCTCTACCGTCAACCCTCCACAGTCACTGGGGTTAGGGACACACACACACACACACACACACAAACCCTTATGAAAGTTTTTTAAAACCCTGCCAATAAATTGCTATTTTGAAACCTGAGAGAATTTTTAGTTCTTTCAGCCTGACCCTATAGTCAACTTTTGTTTTGATATGTTGGGTTGCCAAATTTCATTACTATGGATGTATTGTTGTTGTGTTCGGGCATTAAATGTTTGCTTTTTATGTTTGGAATCCACCCGGGGAGATAGAGGAAAATAAAGTATTATTATTATTATTATTATTATTATTATTATTATTATTGGTGGAAGATGACTACAGAATCACAATAAAGGAGCTAGAGATTCCTAGAAAACATTTCCAATCAAATCATGAATAATCAAATCCGCAAAAGTCAAAACCTCAAATGTGGAGGGACAGTTGTACTAACATTTTCTTTTCTTACGAAATAAAGCCTCAGGATGGTGCTAAAGGAGTATTTCGCAACCTCCCTAAAGCCGTGACCCCTTAATACAGTTCCTCATCTTGTGGTAACCCCCAACCATAAAATTATTTTTGTTGCTACTTCATAACTGTAATGTAAATATCTGATATACAAGATGTATTTTCATTCACTGGAACAAATTTGGTGGGGTTGGAGGAGGGGATTGATTTTGTCATTTGGGAGTAGTAGTTGCTGGGATTTATAGTTCACCTACAATTAAAGAGCGTTCTGAACTCCACCAACAATGGAATTGAACCAAACTTGACATAATGAACTCCCATGAACAACAAAAAATACTGGAAGGATTTGGTGGGCACGGGCCTTGAGTTTTGGAGTTGTAGTTCACTTACATCCAGAGAGCACTGAGGACTCAAACTTGGCAAAAATAATCAATATGCACAAATATGAAGACTGGTGAAGTTTGGGGAACATAGATCTTGACATTTGGGAGTTGTCGTTCACCTACAATTAAAGAGCCTCGCCAACGATAGAACTGGGCCAAACTTTCCACACAGAACCCCCATGACCAACAGAAAATACTGTGTTTCCTGATGATGTTTGGCAACCCCTCTGATACCCCCTCAAGGTGTCCCCCCCCCGGGGTCTCGACCCCCAGGTTGAGAAACGCTGCGCTAAAGGGAACACTATACTTGCAGGAAAGGAAAATGCTTTCACTACGGTTGCCAGCTCAGATAAAGGACAGAGTTCCTGTAATTTTAATCCTCAGCATATCAAGGAGAAGGAAGAGGTACAGTAAAGCTCCATCAAGAAGGATGAAGGGACCTGTCTTCTCTTACCTTCCAAATCTCTTCTGTCATCCAACAGCTGTCCCTCCCAACATGCCAAGAGAGAGAGAGTTAGCTGTATCCTGAGGTGCATCCACACTGTAGAATTAATGCATTTTGACACCACTTGAACTGCCATAGCTCAATGCTATGGAATCATTGGAGTTGTAGCTTGATGAGACACCAGCACTCTTTGGTGAAGAAGGCAAAGGTCCTTGTAAAATGACAGCTCTCAGAATCCCATAGCATTCAGCTATAGCAGTTAAAGTGATGTCAAACTGCACTGATGCTACAGTATAGCATTAATTTAAGGGAAATGTTGACAAGCTGGAATGTGTCCAGAGGAGGGCAACTAAAACAATCAAGGGTCTGGAGAACAAGCCCTATGAGGAGTGGCTTAAAGAACTGGGCATGTTTAGCCTGAAGAAGAGAAGGCTGAGAGAAGACATGATGAGGATCATGTATAAATATGTGAGGGGAAGTCATAGAGAAGAGGGAGCAGGCTTCTTTTCTGCTGCCCTGGAGACTAGGACACAAAACAGTGGCTTCAAACTTCAGGAAAGGAAATTCCACCTGAACATTAGGAAGAACTTCCTCACTGTGAGAGTTGTTCAGCAGTGGAATGCTCTGCCCTTGAGTGTGGTGGAGGCTCCTTCTTTGGAGGCTTCTAAGAAGAGACTGGATGGCTATCTGTCAGGAGTGCTTTGAATGCCACTTTCCTGCTTCTTGGCAGGGGGTTGGACTGGATGGCCCATGAGGTTTCTTCCAACTCTATGATTTGAGCTGCCATGCTCAATGCAATGGAATCGTTGGAGATATAGCTTGGTGAGATACCAACACTCTTTGGTAAAGAAGGCAAAAAACCTTGTAAGATGACAGCTCCCAGAATCTCATAGCATTGAACCATGGCAGTTCAAGTAATCTTAAACTGTGTTAATGCTACAATATAGCTATACCTCCTGTCTCTGGTCCCCTATGTATCCTTTGGTCAATAGGTGGGTTTCCTAATAGAACAATACATCAGTGAGAATCTTGCATAAGAAAGAAAGGCAGGAAACGAGAAAAGAAGGAAGGAAGCAGGGGAAAGGACCCCAAAGAAGCTCCCTGGAGACTCACGTACATAGCATGCGGTTCCTTGAATTTCCCAACCTGCTGGATGTGATACATCAGGTCTCCTCCGTTGACATACTCCATTACAAAATAGAGACGGTCCTTGAAGGAGAAGAAAAAAACCCACAGTATGTGATGTACTCTAGACAGACAAGATAAAGGACTTCCAAATAATACAGGATATCTCCTTTCCTGTACATTTGGGTATGTAGGAGAGTAACTCAATTAACTGGTAGATTTATTTAAATCCATCCTAATTGATCAAAAATGTGTCCCAATTACTTTTTTTTAAAAAAGCACTCTTTGATCAGAAATACTTAAAGAAGGCATTTTCTTCTTTTTTGCTTAAATGATGCTGACCTCTGTGCTTATATGTATGCATTAGGAATTTAAATAATATTCCAAGATATTTCTATATGTGGGGCTGCCTTTGAAGATAGTTCAGACTGGTTCAAAGATCAGCAGCCAGATTACCAACAAGAGCCCCGTACATGGAGAGAACCATTCCCATATTGCGGCAGTTCTACTGGTGGCCAGTCTGCTTCCGAGCTAAATACAAAGTGCTGGTCAATACCTTTAAAGCTCTAAATGGCTCGGATCCAGGTTATTTGACCAATTCCATCTCCTTTTGGGCACTGCAGTCAGCGGAAGAGGCCCTGCTCTCGGTCCCACCCTCATCTCAAGTAAGGTTGGTGGGAACGAGAGAGAGAGGGCCTTCTCCGTGATTGCCCTAAAGAAATAAAGATGGCCCCCTTCCTCCTCTCCTTCAAAAACAACTAAAAACTCATTTTTGCTCACTAGCATATGGAGAAGAGGAGGATTACGTAATGAGAGATCACTACCGGACCTCTGGTTGAGAACTATTGTTGTATTCAGGCTCTCTTAGTCCATGTTGGCCCAGCTGCCATCACTGGCCACACAATCAACCCATATGACTTTGTGAACTTTGGTTGGCTCGTCTAAATTAATGTGGATATTTTATGTTTAGGTTTTGTGTCACTATATAATTTTGTTTGATTACGTTTTGTTTAATTTATTGATGTTAGGTTCTAATGTTGTTTTCATAAGTGGGGTTATTCTTGATTATTTTGTCAATACTTGTTTGTTGAGTGAGGCATTGAATGTTTGCCTTTTTGTATGTTGGAATCCGCCCTGAGTCCCCCTGGGGAGATGGGGCAGAATATAAATAAAGATTATTGTTGTTGTTGCTGCTGCTGCTGCTGCTGCTGTTGTTGTTGACAAAAATGTGTTTCTGAATCAGTGCTAGTAACAAGGTGTATTGTCGAAGGCCTTCCAACAGACCTCACAACCTCTGAGGATGCCTGCTATAGATGTAGGCAAAACATCAGGAGAGAATGCTTCTAGAACATGGCCGTATAGCCCGGAAAACCTACAACAACCAACTAACAAGGTGAATCCTGAATTAAAGAGAATCCCCATCATTCAGGATTGATTATGCATAAAATTCATACATAGTAGTTTTGCACAGAAAACGTTTCTCTAAACAGAACATAGAATTTCTGTGTCAAAACAGTATTCTATGCACAGAAAAGTTGTTTCCCATCACAAAATGCTGTATTGTGCACAAAATACCACATGTGGATTTTTTGCAGGTGTCCCACAGTGCAACTAGTCTTCTAAAACTGTTGCTTTTGAGGGGTTTCATGTCATGAAAAGAAACTTCCTAAAATGACCTCCTTTAAGAAGAAAATTAGCAAAGAATTGCACCCCTAGAATGCACCGCCCAAAAGGTGAGAAAGTGTGCTTGTTCATTCTTTCAGTTGCTTTCTCTTATGTGAAGATTTACATTGCTGATAAATAGTGATTCAATTCATCATAGAATTATAAAGGCAAGATGCAATTGAAATGCCACTAGGTGGCCAGAGATTACCGCAGTTTGGAAAGTAGAGTGCAGTTGGGTTAGGAAATGGGGACGCTCTCCCATTGCCAAGACTCGCTTTTCCACCATGGTGCATTCTACATCGTCGTCTTGGATGATCACATCTTTCTTGAGGATTTTAATGGCATACAGCTCATCTGTTCCACGGCGCTCTGCCAGCATCACCTGTGGAGAGAGAATCCCAAAGTCTTGGATCTTATGTTCACCTAGGCAAGGAAACAGAGATCCTGGCTTGTCTATCTTTCCTGTGATCATCTCTTAGGAGCCCCTGGTAGCGCAATGGGTTAAATCCTTGTGCCAGCAGGACTGCTGACCAAAAGGTTGACAGTTCGAATCTGGGGAAGCAGGGTGAGCTCCCATCTGTTAGCTCCAGCTTCCCATTCGGGGAGACAAGAGAAGCCTCCCACAGTATGGTAAGCATTCGAGGGTCCTCTGGGAAACGTCGTTGCAGATGGCCAATTCTCTCACACTTAGATCTGCTGCAAGCACCCAAGGCAGTAGAATTGCACAACTAGGGGACCTTCTCTGATTACCTGACTAATAATATCAAAACTACAATCAAACAAGAAGCAGTAGCTGGACAGTAGCATTATTGTGAACCATTAATAGATATTTTTCTAATACAGAAAATATTTGATTCCACAATGATCAAACTAGAATACAACAATGAGAGCAATGATGTCATGTTATAAGAAACAGTCACAGACAGAACTAAACTAGTGCAATTGTGCTACAAAATCATGGGCTGGAGGTTTAGCACAGCTGGTAAATCATCAGCAATTATAAGATCTATCAACCAAAAGGTTGCAAGTTCAAAGCCCCAGGTTGGCGTGAGCTGCCAACTGTCAGCCTAGCTCATTGTTTACCTAAAGAAGATCAGAAAATGCTGGGCGACCAAAAGGAAGGAGGAAGCCCTGACAGCTCTTCATCATAGAGGATAGAGCAACAGCACCCCCTGGACTCGAGCCCAACATTCCATGGTACCTCCTTCTGTTCTGTCTGTCTGTCTGTGTATTGTCCATACAAAGTGGCATATGTGTACTGTAATCCGCCCGGGAAGGGCAGAATATAAACCAAGTGTTGTTGTTGTTGTTGTTGTTTTACATCTCCCAACAAGAATGCTCCCTGCAGCATCCAACCTACTATCAATATCCATGCTGCCTCTGGGTGTCTTAAAGTTGAAAGAAGAATGTTTCTCAATCTCTACCTGAGCAGATAACAACCTGTCCATCCTCTAACCAACCCCCTGCTCAGTTATCAAACAGGAAGCCCACCTTGCCAAAGCTGCCTTTGCCCAGCACCATGAGAAAGTTGAAGTCAGAGATGTGGAAGCGGTTGATACCAAAGAATCCGCCACGCTTGGAATCTGTAGGGCTTGGAGATGGAGACTGGATGGGGCCGTGCCGAACCTTCTGCAGGGCAGACAATAAGAAAGGACAAAGAAGAGAAAACAGGGACAAGGTGAGGAGAGATGTGAGCACCTCGAGCTGGTTTAGAGCAAGGAGGGGGGGAAGTGGTTCTAAAAATGATACATTCTGCAACGTCTCCATTATCTTTGCTGCCCAGCAGTCTATTGACTTATGGTGACCTCATGAATTGCGTAGGGTTTTCTTGGGCAAGAGATGCTTAGAGGTAGTAGTGTAAGTTCCTTCCTCTGAAATACCACACATAATCTGATCTTCATCAGCAGTCTCCCATTCAAGTGCTAACCAATGTTGATTCTGCTTAGCTTCCAAGATCAAGTGGGATTTGACCTTTCGGGGATTAATACAGTAAACTGTTCAGGTCCAGGCTATTTGTCTAATTGCATCTTCCTATAACAGTGGTTCTCAACCTGTGGGTTCCCAGGTGTTTTGACCTACAACTCCCAGAAATCCTATTCAGTTTACCAGCTATTAGGATTTCTGGGACTTGAAGGCCAAAACATCAGGGGATCCACAGGTTGAGAACCATTTCAATATACAGACCATCCCGTGCACTATGGTCAATGGAGGAGACCCTCCTCTCGGTCCCATCTCCATCGCAAGCTTGTTTGGTGGGAATGAGGGAGTGGGCCTTCTCTGTGATTGCTCCCCATTTCTGAAACTCCCTCCCTAAAAAAGTAAAAACAGCCCCCAGCCTTCTCTCCTTTAAGAAACTTCTCAAAACACACCTATGCACTTTAGCATATGGAGAGGAGGAGGACTAAGTCACTTTACCTACTTGGAATGCTGGCTAGTCCCACCTGTACTATATGACTGCCGTATTACATTTCAAATGAACACTGGCATCAGACTTTTTTAATATTGCTTTTAGGGTATTTTTTGTAATGTTTACTTATGTTTTCGTTAACTATATCTTACCTCCCTTTAGACTGCCTTCGGGTGATCTTGTGGGTTGAGTTGGGTTTTAATAACTACTTGTATGTGGCTTTTAGTCTAGATTTTAAAATCTGTTGAAGTTTGAAGCATATAACCCCTTGGGTTTGACATGGATGGGCGGGACTGGGTCTCTCTGTTATGATTGGGTCATCGACCATAATAAAGTTTACTTACTTACTTACTTATTGGATTGTTTTGTTTTATTTTTCATGACAATGCTTAATTCTTAACTCACTGTTATTACTGTTGCATTATTGTGTATTATTTTGATACTTTTGTATTCACCTGAGGCATTGAATGATTGCCTTTTTGTGTGTGTAAACTGCCCTGAGTCCCTTTGGGGAGAGGGCGGTCTAGAAATAGTAGTAGTAGTAGTAGTAGTAGTAGTAGTAGTAGTAGTATCACAACAAGATGAGTCCACAGCAAACAAGATCACTGTGCTGGCTGTTGCATTGGATCACACGTCGGACACTTCCAAAGTGTCTAGGACTGTGTGATGTATCGGCAAATAATGCGTGCAGATCCCAGTAAGGTGGCCTTTTGCAGCTGGAAGATGGAAATCTTGTCAGCGCTGGTTGTGTTTAAGTGCAGGCCAAGGTCTTTAGGCACTGCACCCAGTGTGCCGATCACCACAGGGACCACCTTTACTGGTTTGTGCCAGAGTCTATTATTATTATTATTATTATTATTATTATTATTATTATTATTATTATTTTAGAAAACGGTTCCAGGAATGATTCCTCTGGGCAACAAGTGCAAAATCTCCTCCACCCCATCTTGTTGTACCAGGGAAAAGTTGGAAGGAATTGAAGAAACTGTAGATACCTCATAGAGCTCCAAAGGGAAGTTGCAGGCCTGAAAAGTCAAAAACAGCAAGACTTAGAGTGATGAACTGGCAACTTCCATCCCACCCCTTCTCAGGTTCAACACCACTTAGCAAGCCAGGCTGCTCACTTGCCCTCCTACCCCAGCTCCTAAAAGGCAAAGCAGTCTGAAGGTGCTCCCTCCACCCCTTCTCCTCCTTTCCTCACAGCAGCAATCCCTTTCCCCAGCTGTGAAGTAGTATGGGCTTTGTAGTGGAGCTGGGCTGGCACACAGTGGGGAACCAGAGGAGTGTCCAGAAAACCACAAGGTTACCTCAAATTTCTGCAGCAGCCCACAGTTTTCTGCATCAGCCACAGGGACACTATAATATTCGCCCTCCTCCTGATTGAGCAATTTGTACCTGGGACAGCAACGCAGACAGGGACACCGGGCGGGGAGAGGAAGGGAGGTGAACAAAAGGACGGAGGGATGGTGGAGAAAAAGAAAGTGGCGGCAGGGAAAGAAGGAGGTGGGAATGAGAGAGGAGAGTGAAGAAGGGATGGAAGTAAAAGTGAGAGATATGATGGGTAAGATTAGACAGAAGACAGGATAGATAGATAGATAGATAGATAGATAGATAGATAGATAGATAGATAGATGATAGATAGATAGATGATAGATAGATAGATAGATAGATAGATAGATAGATAGATAGATAGATAGATAGGATAGGATAGATAGATAGATAGATGATGGAGCCATCCAAGCAAACAGATAAAACCCCAAAAAGACACCAAGACGGAGGGGGAAAGAGAGAGAAAATGAACCACTGGTGTCCCATCAGCTGCCAATCATTCTTTTCCACTTTTGCTTCTGACCCCCAAGTGTCCTCTTACCAGCCTTCCAAAGGGCCCTTGAAAAGCTCTGAGACCCCAAAGGACATGGCTCCCATGAAATCATTGCGGGTTGTCCGGTCCCAGTCCCACACCTCAATGGAGAGCCGCCGTTCCATGTCACCTGGCTGCAGGGTGCTGGTCGGATAGAAGAATAGGGTCACAGAGCATCAACAGATAAACCTCTCAAAACTTCCAGCTTCCATCCTCTTCCTCACACCTGCACTTACAAAATGAACGTTTCATTCCAGACTGGATTGAGTGTGGATCTCACTGTCCGGGTCTTTTGCTTCGTCTGGTTTTTAGGGTCGGGAATGAGCTTGATTTTCACATAGGGATCTGAGAGCCCATTGGGATCCATCGGGATCAAGTTCAGTGCTTCCAAAACTGTTAAAAGGAGGGGGGGAGGGAGAAAACAGTATTAGTTTTTAACAGAATATTAGCTTCCAGCAGCGTTAGTATCAGAGGAACACATGAGTAGGCGGGAAGACAGGCCTCCTGCATTTTCTTGTAGGCGGTGGGAGGAGGTTCTCCTGGCTTCCATCCCTGGCCACCTGCTGCGGGCCAAGAAAGTTTCTGCGGCAGCAATTGCTACCGCCTTCATATGCGGAGTGGTGGGGTGGGAGAGGACATAAAGGAGATAGTAAAGAGATGGGTGAGGAAATCCCCTTCTGTCATGAAAACTGCAGTGATGGCTTTCTTCCCACCACCTACATGCTAGATTCCTGGATGAGGGAGAAAAGAAAGAGAGAGAAAACATGCAAGAGAAGGTGTGAAAAACACAGGCGGGGGATGTCAAGTTCTACAGCTTGGAATAGAAGCCAAGCATCCTTGCTGCCGACCTCCACTAAATCCATCATCATCACCACCACCACTACCATCATCATCACAGCTCTCCAGCTCCAGCCCAATTGCTCCCTTGCAGTTTGCTACCTGTTGGGACTTTCTTCCCTTCTGAAAACATCAAGGTGGCTTCCTAAGCAAGTCAGCCTTATCATCTGAGCTGACTCTTAATCATAAACATGAGAATAAAAATGGGTGGCAGATGGCTCAGTAATAAGGAGAGTAAACATACTGAAATCTGTTGGGATTCAACCCCCCACTGCCCAAGTCTCAAGACCTCAATGAGGAGCAGTTAATTTAGTATAGACTAAGGGTTTCCCTTTCCACATTTCTCCTGATTAACAGTTGGGAATATATCTTATTTCTTCTCTCTTTTTCTGTTCTCATTCTGATTGGTTGTTGAAAATACTTTTCTACTGCAACCTTTTTTAATCTGACTTCTGCCTTCTTACACTTTACTCCATAGAGCATGTGCTGTGTGCTTTGAGATCTCTCTCTGCATGTGTGTCAGGAGAGATGTGATGATTGGTGTTTTGTCCCTCTCTTGAAACCTTAATAGAGATGGATATTTGAGTAGCTCAGACCCAGTTCTTGATTATTAAGAAATGCAGTTGCTGTTTGTTATTATTGTAAACTAGCTGTACCTGCCACGCGTTGCTGTGGCCAACCTCCCCCTCCCCTTTCTTTCTTTCTTTCTTTCTTTCTTTCTTTCTTTCTTTCTTTCTTTCTCTCCTTCCTTCCCTCCCTCTTTCCTTCCTTCCTTCCCTTTTTTCTTTCCTTCTCTCTTTCCTTCCTTCTCTCCCTCTTCCCTTCCTTCCCTCCCTCCCTTCCTCTTTCTCCCCTTTCTTCCTTCTCTACCTATTCTTGGACTGCAACTCCTAGATGTCCTCCAGATCAATTTACCTACCTACCTATCTATCTCCATCTAATCTATATATCTGGAGGATTGTTGGGAGTTGCAGTCCAGGAATAGGAAATTAGAAATATGCATGAATTGGGATGCTCCCAAAGAAATCCAAGTAGAAGAAAGCTTGCATCTTTGAAGCAGTACATTTGGATCATCCTCCTAAAGGGCCTCGTCTAGGAGATGCTGGGAGCTGTAGTTTGGAAGAGAGTGTGGATATGCTATTGTATGTTTTGTTTGGCAGGGGAGTTGTTTTTGCACATGTACTGTAGCATCTTTTTGATCTTTTGGCTTTTTAAGTCCCTTCCACTGTGTTTTTCAGTGTTTTTATGAGTGATGGTCACTCATTAGCCTGACAGGTGTATTGGGTCCAAATTTGGTGTCAATTGGTCCAGTGGTTTTTGAGTTATGTTAATCCCACAAACGAACATAACATTTTTATTTATATAGATAAACGTTTTGTGATTTTTAAGATTGGATTCTGTATCTTGCATGCCTAAGTTCTGAATTCTTTACAACCACATCATACAGCACTTCATGCTTTGCTTGCTAGTGAGCTCATGCTCAACTTTTGTATCCTGTTTGTTTTTGGATGCTCTGCCATATTTTAGGGTAGATTTCCCTAACAATATCAAGAGGCCTTAAGCTCATAATAACTTGGCATTCATTAACATCTACTGGGTTTTGGTTCCAGGACTCCCCATAGATACATGGATGCCCAAATTTCATTATATAGAATGATATAGTAAAACGCTATCGGTTATATAAAATGGCAAAATCAAGATTTGTTCTTCTGGAATTAAAAAATAACATTTTAAACCACAGATGATTAAATCTGTATAGTTTTGTTGTTGTGTTCCTTCAGGCCTGACTTATGGTCCTCTGAGTCACATCTGACTTACAGCCATCCTCTCCAAGGCTTTTCTTGGCAAGGTTTGTCCACAGGAGGTTTGCCATTGCCTTCCTCTCAGATAAGTCATTTTGCTCAAGGTCTGAAATAGGAATCAAAATCTATGCCATGCTGGCTCTCAACAACTAACTTACACCCCATTGATTTCAATATGTCTACCCTAAGAATGAAGAAGTCTTGGTCCAACCTGTTTTCTTGTTATTGTAATTATATAGCACTATTAGCACTGTTACTTTGAGACAGAAAGGCAAAAAAAAGAGGAATATACAGAATGAATTGTGTGGAAAAAAGGCACATAGAGTGATGTTCATTTGTGCATAAACATACAGAAATATTCTACACCGAGGTAGGCTCAGTGCCATAGGCAAATTAAGCTGAATCCTGTGACCTTTATATGAAGAACAGTCTGCATGGAATATGCAAATTGAATGAGTATTTATATAATTTATTCAGTACCTGTCTGTGATGAGGTAGCAATAAAAAGAACTGTACAGAATTCCAATTTCATATCACTGGAAGTCTCTACTATTTCGCTAGTATTATCAGATTGGGATGCAAAATGGCTTCATCATGCCAGAAATTACTTGGAGTTTTGCTGGCTTTGGGTTTCTGGAAATTAAGGGCCTTTCCACACAGCCCTATATCCCAGAATATCAAGGCAGAAAATCCCACAATATGTGCTTGGAACTGGTTTATCTGAGTCCACACTCAGATAATGGGGGATTTTTTGCCTTGATATTCTGGGATATATGGCTGTGTGGAAGGACCCTTCAGCTCCCTGAAATAATATTTCCAAGCTCTTTGAACACCCTGCCTCGTTTGCATGAACTATCTATCTTATCTCTCCATCTACCCATTCATCCAGGATTGTCAGATTCTGGCACTGAGAAATGATAACATGTTTATGAAGAGGAAAATTCCCAGTTAAAAAATCTCATTGGGTTCCTCTTCTCACTAAAAATGCCAACCCAATGACTGCTCAAAACCATGCCCATGACCCACACAGATCTGCCAACTCCTAATTCCTGTAGACTCAGGGTGTAATTCATCTTCCATGTTTTCAATGCTAACAATTTTCAGACAAATGATATTTCAACCCTGTGCTTTCTGCTCAGAAACCCCTTTGGATTGAATCCACAGTCAACTGTACAGCACAATTTAATATGGACGTCATAGACCAAAGTTGTGGCTCTAGGACAGTGGTTCCGCAAGAACTAAAATATGGTCCATGGCCTCACCATTACTACACTCTTGCAATGAGAGTGACTGGTCTCGCGAGACCCTCTTATAGTGACAAGGCAACAGGGATGTTGGAAGGGGAGAGGATGACTACCCACGAAAGGTGCAACAACAAGCCTCCTGATGGCTCCTCCTCCACCTCCTTCCCCTTGAGCATGTGGCGTAAGGGGGGGGGCGCCTTGGTGTCTTTGTTTTTAGGCATCTTTCTGGGTTTATTTGGGGTGCTGATTCAGAGCATTGCATTGGATGGACTACATCAGCTCTAGATGATTAAATATGTATTTTTTGTAATTTTAATCGATATGTATTTTAACTCGTTATTATATGATGTTTTTACATTGTACTATTAGCATTGAATCCTTGCTGTAAGCCAGTCTGAGTCCCTCTACAGAGGTTGAGAAGATCAGAATATAAAAGTTTTAAATGAATAAAAATAAATAAATATGGTTTTCTGTGGGTCAGCAGATGGGTGGCATATGTTCTGTATCAGAAACTACAGCTGATGTGGTCTATCCAATGCAATTTTCTGAATCAGCACCTCAAATAACCAAACTGAATCTAAAGTTGGTCAAAAATTAATGCGTAATCCTTTTGGTACTAATGTTGGAGACTGGTTCTTGGTCAAAAAAAGGTTAGGAACCACTTCTCTAGGATCTTTAAGATGTTTCTGGACTCAAGTTGCTATCTTTCCTATTCATTGGCCATGTTGGTTGAGTCAGATGGGAGTTTCAAGCTAAAGATAACTGGAGGGCCATAGGTTTTCTACTTCTGATATATGATTGACAACAACCTATTTATGAAGAATCTACACAGTAAGGAGGGTGGGCCATGGCCTTGCATCATTCCTATCACACATACTTCAATATGAGAGGCAATAATGAGCAACATGAAAGCAAAAGTTCTTCATTTATCTCATCAAATACCTGAGCATACAGAACCATTGTGAGATGTTATTTAAAAGTTAGAATAAATCTACAATCTTTCTATATAGCTGGAGAACCACTATATAAAAGACCATATTTCCAGCTCCCTTCCACACAGAAGTCCCTAGAATGCAAGATATCTAATGAAGATACAAGACTTCCTATGGAAGCAGGGAATCCTATTCCTATCTCGATTCAGCTAAATTGGATATCCCCTTACCGGTCACACGGATCTCATCGCTCCCAAATGTCTCGATGTTGAGTTTCAGGCGCCCCCGGCGTTCTGTATGGTCCACCCCACACAAACTAGGCACGCAATGGACACAACGTTTGTGCACATTCATCTCACAACCTGCAAAGGGCAAAAGCTGTTAGAAGGGATCAGGCAACAACAGAATTTCATATTAGGTCTGCAAATTTAATTGAATAATGAATTGGTTGGATTAACTGACTTTTTAAGAAACTGCTCCTCAGACAGCAGTTTCTTAAAAAATATTTTAGTGCAAGATTTAGGAAATCTATGGGTAGAAGTTTCAATTTCAAAGAAGCATTCCTCTTTCACTGTTTCACCTTGGATATAATGCCTCCCCGTTGCAATATGTACATATGTTGTATAAATAAATACCTTTTTTTCACGTGTCAGGAGCAACTTGAGAAACTGAAAGTCACTTCTGGTGTGAGAGAATTGGCCATCTGCTAGGGGATGCCCGGATGTTTTTTGATGTTTTACCATCCTTGTGGGAGATTTCTATAATGTCCCAGCATGGGGAGCTGGAGCTGACAGAGAGAGCTCATCCGTGCTCTCCCCGGATTTGAACCTCCAACCTGTTGGTCTTCAGTCCTGCCAGCACAAGAGTTTAACTGATTGCATCACCAGGGGCTCCATACTATTATGATGTATACTTATTTACATGGATATAAACTGAGCACATCTATGGAAGATCTTTTTCACGCTAAACTCTGAATGCAGAGGACAATTTGTCAGAGGCCACCAACACAGAATCATAGAATAATAGACTTGGAAGAGACCACATGCCATGCAGGAAAAGCACAATCAAAGTATTCCTGACAGATGGCCATCCAATCTCTGTTTAAAGGTTTCCAAGGAAGAAGCTTCTACCACACTCCGAGGCAGAGAGTACCCCTGCTGAACAGTTGTTATAGTCAGGAATTTCTTTCTAGTGTTCAGATAGAATCTCCTCTCCTGTAATTTGAACCCATTGCTCTGAGTCCTAGTCTTCAGGGCAGCAGAAAACAGGCCTGCTTCCTCTTCCTTATGACACTCTTTCCCATGTTTATACATTAGCATGTCTCCTCTCAACCTTCTCTTCTGCAAGCTAAACAGACCCAGCTCTTTAAGTTGCTCCTCATAGGGATTCATGGTCTCCAGACCTTTGATCATTTCTGTTGCCCTCTTATGGACACCTTCCAGCTTGTCAACAAATCTTCTGAATGTAATTATTTATCAACAAAAGGAAAAGTGCATTTAAGTCATACTTCTGTGGGATTGCTACCATCCTTTCAGAAGAAGATATTGAAATTCAGAACATTCAAGGACAGGAAGGCTTGAACATCAGTAATCCAATTAGGTGCTGGAGGTACAAGGAAAATATTCTAAAAATGGTTTCTTCCAATCAATTGATAAAATGGATTACAGGACTCAGATTCAGAGAATTAATCAACTAAAATGCAGCGGCGCAACAGACATTACATCTACCCCTTCTGACATTTCACTGGAGAGACAAGATCGATTCTGGCTGTGTTTTTATGCCTATTTGAGAGAACATTTAATCAAATTTGGCAAGTTCATTGAGGACTGTTCTCCATTTCTAGGAGGAATGACTGCAACAATTTACCTTAAATCTATGGGAGCAGAAAGACAGAGCATATTAATAAGCTGTTGCTTATGAACATACTCAATAGCTCAAAGCTTTTTCTAAGAGCCAATGTGATGGATTAGCAGGGGTTTTGTTTTCTCATTGTGCCAGGCTTTGGAACCAGATGTATGCCCAGTGGCTACAACAGTTTCTTTCTTTCCATCCCAGAAACCTGCCACTGACAAGTAGCCAAAGGCTGGTGGACCGGCTACATCACGCAGACCACAATTTGGGTTAGCGCTACTATATCCAGCCCTAGTCTCAAGAAGTCCCACACATCAGCCTTTCCCATTTGTAATCCCAAGACTGTCACTGCCCACTTCCCATCTTGCCAACATCAGCACCCTCCACACAGTGCGAAAAATGCTGAAAACAAGATTCTAGACTGCATTAATAGGAATAGAGTGTTAATTGAGGGAAGTAATAATCCCACTCCATTTTACTATAGTCAGACCTCACCTGGAATACTGTCAGAAATATTAAATATTAACTAGGTATTTTTTTAATTACAAAAATATGAATCAAGCACTGAAAGGGTTAAATGGATGCATTGACTCATCAAAAGCTGCAGTTCAATATAAGCAGGTGCGCCTGTCTCTGTGGGAGAAGGGCCTCAGTGTGTTAGTAGGCCTCAGTACGAGAAGGTCTCAGTGTGTGGTAGGTGTCAGTCTGAGAAAGCCCTCAGTGTGAGAAGGCCTCAGTGTGAGGTGTCAGTAGGCCTAGCTTCAGTGAGAAGCTTCAGTGAGAAAAGCCCCAGCTTGAAGGCCATCGTATGTGAGGCTCCAGTGAGATGTCTGCTGTGTATAAAGCTACTCTGTGAAGCTCCTGTGTAACTTTGGTGTGAGAAGAGGCTCTGTGAGAGTGAAGCTGCTTATCTATGTAAGAAAGAAGCCCAGCATGGAAGCAAATAAGAAAGTTAAAGAACTTTATTTGTGCATGGAAACCTTGTTCTTGTAATAGTACAACCAAATTATTTTGCTATAAAGAAAAGCCTCCTATGGAAGACATAACATTGGTCTGTGTGTTTTTGTTCTTTTTATCACTTTGAGCTATTGGTGCTGGGTTACACTGCTGCTGATAAGTTACTCTGCAGTACGTCTATGAGGAGGGTCTCTTGTTAATAAGCCCACTCGCCCAACAAATACTGTATCCAGTTTTGGGCACAACAATCGAGGAGAATATTGATAAACTGGAACGTGTCTAGAGAAAAGTGATAAATGATAAAAGGTCAGGAAGCCAAGCCCTCTGGGGACCATCACAGAGAACTTGGAGAAGAAACATTTGAGAGGGGATATGATAGACATGCTTAAATATTTGAAAGGATATCACACTGAGGCAGGAACAAGTTCCAGATCCTAGGACATGGGAACAATGGATTCAAATTACAGGAGGAGATTGCACCTAAATCAGGCATGGGCAAACTTGGGCCCTCCAGGTGTTTTCGACCAACTCCCACTGGCTGTTAGGAATTGTGGGAGTTGAAATCCAAAACATCTGGAGGGCCCAAGATCACCCATGCCTGATCTAAAAGAACTTAATAATGGTAAGTATTGTTCAAGAGTGGAATATGTTCCTTTGGAGTGTGGTGGAATCTTCTTCTCTTGAGGTTTTTAAAACAGACTGGATGGCCATCTCTCAGGAGTGCTTTGATTGTGTATTCTTGCATGACGGAATGTGGCTTGTTGGGGAATCTGAGCTGTTAGGCTCAAAAATAACCCTCAGTTGGGGTGATTCCACCATAAATATAGCACAATACCTGAAGCAAACTTCATAACCAGCAGAAACTTACAACTAGCCAGGTTACGTTTTCCCGTCATAGGATGGAACGGATTGCAGAGTCAGAACTTTAGGTAAAAAAGTAGTTATTGAAGTAAAAGAAATACATTATTGATAGAAAAGGTCTTGGAGCTAACTAGCTTACTAAATCTCATATTCTAAGAAGGTAAAAAGTCAAAAAAAATTTAAAAAATCCATGCAGCTACTTTTTGCCTAGGGAGAGAGGCAAAATGTGCATCCTCACCAGAAAGAAAAAAAAAGGCAGAAGAGACTGGAAAATGGAAAATGGCCACATAGCCAAGCCCAGGGCAATAAAATACTTTATAAAGAAAGTTCCTTCACAGAGATCGCAGTGCTACATCTTCAAAGGGGAAGAAGACAATGACAAGGAGGAGAAGGAAAGACAAAGCCCTTTTTGATAAACATGCATAGGAATGTGGGGGAGGAATCCCTCAGCCTAATCATGTTTCTGGTCTATCTACTCACTGAGATCTGGAAACTTGATGACAGAAGATACCTGTGTAGTCCAGGGATGAAACCCAACAGGGCTAACCTGGATGGCCCTTCAGGTCTTTTCCAGCTCTATGATTATATGGCTGTAGCAAATGTGCATATGGGCATCAGTTTAGCTGACATTAATCATTACAAAATCCGATTTAATTGCATGAAACAGTTCTTCTGTATGTGCAAAAAAGTAAAAATTGGGAGAGCTGACTGTAGCATTCCAGATTGCAGATGAGAGGAGCAAAGAAGAAACTTTTGTCAAATAGACAACTACCATCTGGGTATAACTGCATAGCAAGAATCTTTCTCCTTAATGCACTTGCTTTCTCTTTTTCACACTGTCTCTTTGGGGAAATATTCAACAACTGTATTGCCATCTCCCACCTGCAGTGTGAAGTGGTACACTCCATTCTACTACCTCAGGAATCTTCCAGCTCATCACGCTGCATATATATATACGATCCAGCCTAAATCACAACTAATTTTAACTAGAATGAGGCCACCATCCTGCATAATATACTCAACGCCTTATCAGTCTACTTTGTAGGACTAATTGACATTTATAGAGCACTTCTCTAAAGGGCTCTAAGAGAGACACAGATGTGTCTCAACCACCACTGCAGAATAAGGGAGTTTAATACAGCTTCCCCAACTACTAAGACATCTGCAACGCAAGAGTAATGATGATACTCAACCAATAACCTCCAAACGCAGCAAATTCAGGTGTGCTGGACAACAATCTCCATAATCCCCAGGCTCCACAGGTTTGGGACATGGTGACTGGGTGATGGGAAATGCAGTCCAAAACATATGTAGGATGCTAAGATGCAGAAAAGCTGGCTTAGTATTATTATTTTTCCCATGTTATGGATGTCCTAGAGAATATCTACACTGCACAGTTATACCGACTTAATCCCACTCCAAATGTCATATCTTTATCCTGCAGAATCCTAGAATTTGTAGTTTGACTTAGGTTGGTTAGTATTCTCTGTTGGAGCAGGCAAGGAATCAGTGAGTGTGTGTGTGTCAACTGCAAAATAAGATGCATGAAGCTGAAGTTCCGAATTCTGGTTCCAGTTTAGAATCATATTCCAAAGTCAGACCATTGCCGATCATATAAAATTACTCTCAGTCTAGTTGCTGCATCTACTGCTCAAAGGCTTGGTCCCACAACCATGTTTTGAGTTTTTTCCGAAAGGATAAGAAGGAGGAGGCTGACTTGATCTCTTTGGGAAGGGAGTTCCACAGCTGAGGGGCCACCACTGAGAAGGCACTGTCCCTCATCCCCACCAGTCACACACAGGTTAAACCCCTGTGCCGGCAGGACTGAAGACCGACAGGTCGCAGGTTCGAATCCAGGGAGAGGCGGATGAGCTCCCTCTATCAGCTCCAGCTCCTCATGTGGGGACATGAGAGAAGCCTCCCACAAGGATGATAAAACATCAAATCATCCGGGCGTCCCCTGGGCAACGTCCTTGCAGACGGCCAATTCTCTCACAACCAGTCACACTTGTGAAGGTGGCGAAGGTAGAGGGAGATACATTAAGATCATCCAGAGAGGCCCTGCTCTCGGACCCAGCTCCTTCGCAGGCTGGGGATGAGAGACAGGACTTTCTTAGTGGTGGCCCCTCATCTGTAGAACTCCCTCCCCAACAAAATCAGATCAGCCCCTTCTCTCCTGACCTTCAGGAAAAAACTTAAGCCGTGGCTCTGGGACCAAGCTATTGACAGATAAATGGAGCAATGCAATTCAGTGACTATGAATTAATGTGTTGATAAATAGAACAGCACTGAATTACGTTTTGGATGATGTGTTTTTAATTGACGTTATGTTTCAATTGTTTGGTTTTCATTGTAATTGCGCATTGATACATGCATGTTTGGCATACCTCCGGGTTGAAAGGTATGATACAAAGATAGTGAGTAAGTAAATAAATAAATCCCCCTCTGGATTGCCCATGGCATAGCCAGCCTTTGTGGTACAATGGGACTGCACAGCTTCTGTGGAGAGCTTTACTCACAGGTGCATTTCATTCCCTGGTGGACCAGCCCATAAAGAAGGGAGCCACAGTGATCGCAGAAGGTTGGGCTGCTGTAGCTGTGGGACTTGAACTTATGCTTGCTTCGAGGGTCCTATAAAAAAGAGAAAATCACAGGTGCAAATCACAATGAGGATGAGACCTGGAACTATTCTCTAGTGTACAGACATCATACGGACTTTTCCTCACTTCCATTCTCACGACTTCTAGATAGTAGTGGTTTTGTCGTGAATGAATACTCTCTGGCTGTCTGGATTTGAGAAGGACTATCGCTATTAGTTCTCTGTTGTTCCACTTTTGCAGCTGCTTTTATAATGCTCCAGTTCCTCTCTCAGAATTTCCTCTTTTGTCCACAGCTTACCTCAATTGCTGCAAACTGAATTCAAAATCAAAAATATTCTGTGTTCAGTTAACTCAAGAGAGGAAGAAGAGAGAAGAATCTTTCCCTTCCCTGTATGTCAGGCCTGGGAAAACTTTGGCCCTCCAGGTGTTTTGGACTTCAACTCCCACAATTCCTAACCGCCTACTGGTGGTTAGGAATTGTGGGAGTTGAAGTCCAAAACACCTGGAGGGCTGAAATTTGCCAAAACCTGTTGTATACACAAGCAAAAGTAGTAGGTGCAACCTATCCTAAATTGTGCGTTCTTCTTCTTTAACATTTTTGCCATCTTGAACACATTTTGAGCTTGCTTGGACACATTTGCCTTGCTCTTTCTCTCTGAAATGTTGGAAGACACGAACATGCATATGAGGAGATATCACAGTGGGGGAAACAGAGCAGCTGCAAATAGTTCCTCCATCATGTGAAATGTAAATACAAAAACAAACGACCCATTTTCCCAAGCAGATTTCAACATAACCACATCACAAATCCGCCAAATAACTCTTTACTCCGAAGCTCTGATCACAACCACAGAGGCCTCTGAAGTCGCATGACTTGTGCTTCTGCTATGCCTGAGGGCATGTCCAGAGCTGGCTGTGCAAATGTGTGCCATCGAAGGAACAAGACAGATGAGACAAGCCAGCTCTGTCATCCTTCCCTAGAATTCCAGGTCAAGGACAAGGGAAATGGGACACTGAGCTGCATGAAGATATCTGCTCCCTCTGTCTGCTGTATAAATAGCAAGGAAACCGGGACGCTCACCTGGAGTGGAGGAGAGACCCAAAGTGCTGCTTGGGTTCCCAACCCCCACCCACAAAATTCTTCCCGTTAAGACTGCACTCGTCTCTCTGAGAACCCCAAAGTCCCAGTGTGCCCAGTATGGGTGCCACTTACATCTGTCTGGGGTCCTTTCCCAGCTCCAGGACACTCGAACGTGACAAATTCGTGGCATCTCTTGTGAACAACAAAGCTGCACACTGAGAAGGGAATACAGAAGGGGAGAAAAGTTTATTAGGGGGGGGAAGGAATAGTTGGGGGTGCTAAATTTCACAGAGGAAAGGAGATAAAGGAAGGAAAAGGTGGATAAAAAGACAAAAAAGAATAAAAGAAAGTTTTAAAAATAGTCTTGTTATTGTTTTTGAGAGAGAATTCTGCATCAAAACCATAAACGTATCAGAGATCTGACTGCAGAAAACACAAAAACTAAATGCTAAATCAAGCCAAGTTTGGCCTATAAAGCCCTAAACTGTTCTGGCCCAACTTACACATCTGAACGCATCTCCCCTTATGAACCATCTAGGACCTTGAGATTGTCTGGGGAGGCCCTGCTGTCGTTACCGCCTTTGTCACAAGTACGTTTGACAAAGACAAGAGACAGGGCCTTCTCGGTGGTGGCCCTTTGGCTGTGGAATGCCTCCCTATAGATATTAGATCAGCCATCTCCCTTTTAACATTCCGAAAAAAAAGTCAAGACATGGCTTTTTGAACAAGCCTTTGCAAATGCAGAGTAACTGACTTTAGGCACTGCACCAAGTGTGCCGATCAGCACTGGGACCACCTTTATTAGTTTATGCCAGAGTCGTCGTCATCGTCTTATTATTATTATTATTATTATTATTATTATTATTATTATTATTATTGGGCTTGTCCCCATGTAAGCTCCCCAAGTCCCTTTGAGAAGATGGAGGCAGGATATAAGAATAAAGTTATTATTATTATTATTATTACCAAACCCAATAACATCCGGGAGTGGCTTTTCAGGGTGCCTTTGCTATTTTTACCATTATGTTGATGATGATGATTTCTATCCCACCACATTGAGACTGAAAGCAGCTTAAAAATCAAATTACACCAAGTTACAAGCTGGCATTCAGCATTTGAGGAAGTTATAACTTTAACATAGGAGAGGAAAGAGAAAGAGGAAAAGTCGGGATGAAAGGAAAATTGAGAATAAAAGAAAGTTTTTTTTAAAAAAATCTTGTTCTGTATTGAAGAGAATTCTGCGTCAAGACCATGATTTCGGCAGCACAAAACACAAAAGAACTGCCTTCCACTAAATCAAGCCATCAAACTAAGTAACATCTGTTCTAGCTGACAATAGTGTCTCAGGGTCCCTTTCCTATTACTATCATTACATTGATGATTATGATGATTTATATCCCACCTTCTTGGGACTGGAAGCAGCTTTAAAAAATAAAATCACACAAAGTTACAGGCTGGCAGGCATGTAGCCGGGGGGGGGGCTTGGGGGGCTTCAGCCCCCCCCCCCGAAATTCTGATGGTGGTCCGCGAGAAGGCCTTACTGGTACATTATTTAAACTGTTATGTTTATTCATATCATGATCTGATCACCATACTCAATATATTCCATATGCATGGGGGTATTGGGGTAATGATACAAAAGGTTTGCTAGGGTAGACCCTCTTTCACTCAGACTCAGCCCCCCCCCCGAAACTCACCCCCCCCCGAAACCCCCCCTGAAAAAAAATTCAGCCCCCCCGAAACGAAATCCTGGCTACGGGCCTGCAGGCTGGCATTCAGTTATCAATTTGTAACCTTGAGTTAGAAATCCAAAGTGGTCTCCATTCAGTAGGATTATATAATCTTATTGGAAATTAGAATAAATCATTTTATAAATGGACCGGGCTTTAGCACAGCTGGTTAATCACCAGCAGCAAAAAGTTCACACCAATTGAAAAGTTGGCAGTTCGAAGCCTGGGTCAGGGTGAGCACCCAACCTTCAGCCCAGCTCACTATCCACCTAAGCAGTTTGAAAACAGCTGTGAGCTGAGTAGAGAAATTAGGCACCGCTTAGGCAGGGAGGCATTTCACAGCACCATAAAAAGGAAGTACCAGAAAATGCTGGCAATCAAAGAATAGAGGAAGTCTGTGATCAAGGGCTCTTCACCATAGAGGATGGAACCACAGCACCCTCCTGTGGCCAGAATTGAGCACAACCTCCAGGACATTGAAGTTGGGGGGGAAATGTTGACCTATACGTCAATCTGTTGTCTGTCCTGTTTGTTTAATGGCACTGAATGTTTGCCGAGTATATGTTCTGTGATCCACCCTGAGTCCCCTTTGGGGTGAGAACAGCGAAATATAAATTATGTAAATAAATAAATAAATAAATAAATAAGCAGTCCACCTTGAGAGTCAGCAGCCTAGGTGACTCTCAAGGTCCCTCTACGTTCCACCTCGTAATTTAAGATCTACTGGGGAGGCCCTGCTCTCGGTCCCACAGGCTTCGCAAACACGTCTGGTGGGGACAGGCATGTAGCCGGGGGGGGGGGGCTTCAGCCCCCCCCAAATTCTTATGGTGGTCCGCGAGAAGGCCTTACTGGTGCATTATTTAAACTGTTATGTTTATTCATATCATGATCTGATCACCATACTCAATATATCCCATATGCATGGGGTATTGGGGTAACGATACAAAAGGTTTGCTAGGGTAGACCCTCTTTCACTCAGACTCACCCCCCCCCCCCCCGAAACAAACTCAGCCCACACCGAATCGAAATCCTGGCTACGGGCCTGGGTGGGGATGAGGGACAGGGCCTTCTCACTGGTGGCCCCCCGTTTGTGGAATTCGCTCCCCAGCGATCAGATCGGCATCTCCCTCCTTTCTTTTAGGAAAAAAACTAAAATTGTGGTTTTGGAGCCAGGCCTTTGGCTATGGGCACAGCAGCACTTTAAACACAGAACCCGGACCACAGGACTGTTACGACAATTGGAAACGGCTATGTGACTTTGTGACTATGTGATTTGTGACTATGTGATTATGTGATTTTAATTCATGTTACTGTTTTTAATCTGCTATGTATTATGATTTTATATTGTGTTACTGACATAGTGGCATCGAATTGCTGTCTGTGTTAGCCGCCCTGAGTCCCCCCTTGGGGGTGAGAAGGGCGGGGTAGAAATGGTGTAAATAATAAATAAAGATCTGTTTGGCGTCTGATTGGGGCTCTCTGGATGTAGGTGAACTACAACTCCTAAAACTCAAGGTCAATGCCCACCAAACCCTTCCAGTATTTTCTCTTGGCCTTGGAAGTTCTGTGTGTCAAGTTTGATTCAGTTCCATCATTGGTGGAATTCAAAATGCTCTTTGATTGTAGGTGAACAATAAATCCCAGCAACTACAACTCCCAAATGACAAAATCAATTCCCCCCAACCCCACCAGCATTCAAATTTGGGTGTATCGGGAATTTGTGCCAAATCCAGTGAATAAAAATACATCCTGCATATGAGATATTTACATTATGATTCGTAACAGTAGTAACATTACGTTATGAAGTGACAATGAAAATAATTTTATGGTTGGGGGTCACCACAACATGAGGAACTATATTAAAGGGGCCACAGCATTAGAAAGGTTGAGAACCACTGCTTTATCAGGAGATAAACCAATAGGCTTCACCTAATCCAGCCACTGGCTCTTAAGACAGGCTTGGGGGCTCTAGCCAAGAAATGTGACTTATTATGTCTCCATAAGTTAGCAGAAGATCTGGGATACTGGTGACATTTATCAGTGTAAGTATTAAATTGCTGGTGACAGTTATTAATGTAACTCTTAAAAGATAATTATACTATCTATAGATAATAGATATGGTTTTTGGCATTTACAGTCACTACAGCCAATTAGAATCGCATTATCACTCATAAGCCTGGGGTTAGTGGGAAGGGAGAGATGCAATGCCTATACCACCTCGCTATTGGCACAGGGCCTGCCTGAAATGGTCCTGTGGGGTAGAAGCTGATATTATATGCACCTGAGCACTTGTGGCAGACCTGACTGCACAGAGAAAAAGATTTATAGGCCTACTCATAGGCACAAGTATTATTTATTATTCAAGGCATTCGTTTATTTCTTTTCGACCTACGAAGGCTCCCAAGGTGATACGCAATCGATAAAAAGCACTTTGAAAACACAAAATAACTACAGTTGCATTGCTAAATTAGGGGAAAATTCCAGACATCCCACCCTGCCTATCCCTGCTCAATGTCATGCCCTCCAAATGTCCCAATGTGGCAGAGACTGGACCTATTGATCCTTTGTTGTCCCGCCTTTTCAGCTGCCTTTAAAATGTCCCGGTTTCGCTCACCTCCTCCCACTTTTCCCCTTTATCCTCAGCTTACTCCAATTAACACCAACTGAGTGCAAACTGTAGAAGTGGTTTGCACTCAATTAGCTCAATAAACCCAACTGGGAGAAGAGAGATGGAGTGGGAGGAATATTGCCCATCTGTTCCTCCTTATCAACAAATTTTGACCACACACTGAAATGTTGGAAGGTATTCAATGCCAGTCTGAGAGGGAGTGGAATATGGTAATGCTTTCTATTAGTGTTCCTCAACCTTTCTAATGCCACGACCTCTTGATACAGTTCATCATGTTGTGGTGACCCCCAACCTTAAAATTATTTTCGTTGCTACATCACCACTGTATTTTGCTAGTATTATGAATCTTAATGTATATATCTGATATGCAGGATGTATTTTCATTCACTCTACCAAATCTGGCACAAATACCTGATACGCCCAAATTTGAATACTGGTGGGGTTGGACGGGGATCGATTTTGTCATTTGGGAGTTGCAGTTGATGGGATGTATAGTTCACCTACAACCAAAGAGCATTCTGAATTCCACCAATGATGGAATTGAACCAAACTTGGCACACAGAACTTCCATGACCAAAAGAAAATACTGGAAGGTTTTGATGGGCATTGACCTCAAGTTTGGGAGTTGTAGTTCACGTACATCCAGAGAGCACTGTGGACTCAAACAATGATGGATCTGAACCAAACGTGGCACAAATACTCAATATGTATGTATTCAATATGAACACTGGTGGATTTTGGGGGAAATACACTTGACATTTGGGAGTTGTAGTTGCTGGGATTTATAGTTCACCTACAATCAAAGAGCATTCTGATAGAATTGATAGAATTGGGCCAGACTTCCCACACAAAACCC